CAGAGGATATGTCCAGGGAGAAGTCCCATGGCTGTACAGAGTACAGAAAGCTTTCTGCTCAGTCAAATTCCCTGTGCATCAGAGAACACACATAGAGGCCCTGTGAATTCAAATAATGCTTCTAGAAAAGCTTTCTTTTGCAAGACACACTTACTTGACATCAGAGATCCCATACAGGTGCAAAACGTAATGTGGGGCTGGAGAGATGGCTCAGAGGTTAAGAGCATTGCCTGCTCTTCCAAAGGTCCTGAGTTCAATTCCCAGCAAGCACATGGTGGCTTCCAACCATCTGTAATGGGGATCTGGTGCCCTCTTCTGGCCTGCAGGCAGACACACAGACAGAATATTGTATACATAATAAATAAATAAATATTTTTTTTTAAAAAGCCTAATGAATGTGAGAGATTTAGAAAAGCCTTCTACAGGAAGTCAAAACTTACTGTCCTTCAGAGAGCTCATATGGTTAGAAACCATATGAAGACAGATTACAGGAAGGCATTCAATTCAAGCCAGGCCCAGTATTCCTGATGCCTGCAAATCCAGAAGTAGAACTCTCAGCTATATGTCTGGCTGCATGCTACCATGCTCCCAAACATCACGATATGGTCCAAATCTCGGAAACTGTAAGCAAGCCCAAATGAAATGTTTTCTTTTATAGTAGCTGTGTAGGTCATGGTGTCTCACCACAGCAGTGGTAACCCTGACTAAGACAGCACTCAAGCAATGAGTATAAAAAAATTAAAAACATGTACAAGGAACATGCAAGAATTGTCAGATACCATGAAAATACCATATCTTCAAATTATGGGCATAGATGAAAGAGAAGAATTCCAGGTCAATGACATAGACCAGATCTTCAACAGTATCATGCAAGAAAGCTTGGCCAAATTAAGAAAAGACACACTCATACAGATATAAGAAGCACATAGACCCCCAAATAGACAAGATCAGAAAAGAAGCTCCCCGTGGCATATTACAGTTCAGACATTAAACATACAGCACATAGAGTACTAAAGCAGCAAAAGAAAAGTTACAAGTCATGTAGAAAGAAAGGTCTGTCAGAGCGACGGGTGGTTTCCACATGGCAGAAAGAAAATCCTGGATCCATGCACTCCAGTTCTCAGAGACCGTGAACACAAACCGAGACTACCGTGTGCAGGAAAACCATGTACCACAGTTGAAGGGGAGAAACCTTCATGATATAACCAGGCTAACAGAATTCATGTCCACAAAACAGAATGTTGGAAACAAGACTTTGCACTGATGATAGGAATAAGCACAGCCAGAGAAAGAAAACAAATGAAGCTGCAACTACTGAAGCACAAGATGACACTAAGAACATGAACAAAAACAAAAGGACAGCAATCAGCACACCTTAGAATAATAACATTAAATATTAATGGCCTCTACTCAATCAGAGCACACAGGTTGATTGAGTGAATTGAGAAACAAACTCTGAGCTGGGCTGTGGTGGCGCACACCTTTAATCTCAGCACTTGGGAGGCAGAGGCAGGCAGATCTCTGTGAGTTCAAGGCCCGCCTGGTTTACAGAGCTAGTTCCAGGACAGCCAAGGCTACACAGAGAAACCCTGTCTTGAAAAAAACCAAAAAAAAGAAAGAAAGAAAGAAAGAAAGAAAGAAAGAAAGAAAGAAAGGAAGGAAGAAGGAAAGAAAGAAAGAAAGAAAGGAAGGAAGGAAGAAGGAAAGAAAGAAAGAAAGAAAGAAAGAAAGAAAGAAAGAAAGAAAGAAGGAAAGAAAGAAACTCTATCTGTTGTCTACAACAAACTCATAGTATTGGTAAAGTACCCTAAACAAATGTGATCAAGAAGCAACCAAATGTTGCTCTTCTGATATCTGGCAAATAGACTTCAAACTAAAACAAACCAGGAGATATAAAGTATTCTTCATGTTAACCACTGGAACAATTAATCAAGAAGACATTACAATCTTGATCAGAAACACACTGAACACTGGCATGCAGTTTCATACCACTGACCTTCAAGACAAAGATGAACTCCATTCAGAGCACCACTTTCTCCGTTAGACAGAACATCTGCATAAAAAATAAACAGACACACCAGACTTAGGTGGCACCATATGCCAGATGCCTCACATGCCTAA